ATAAGGTTTTTTGTAATGTTTCTTGAACGAACGCACATTTTGTATGATTGGGCAAGTAAATCGCCAAAATTTTCGATACTGGAGTGATTTAGTTCTCAATATAGCATGCCAAATTCACACATATCCCCAAAAACTGAATGTTTGGGCAGGAATTTTGGGCATACTTACTATAGGACCACGCTTGTTGAATGCCAACTGAATAATCAAGTATTGCCAGGCATTAAAAAGGCCACCCAGTTAGATATAACATCAGGATCTGCCGATTTGAGCCTCCTGGACTTTCTTTTATCCATCAAAAAGTCACCTTAAGGCCCATTTCTGGACGAATGGGTACCTGAACGAATAAAAATGTCGAATTTGTGACGAAACTAATCCGCATGAGATCCAAGAGCGTCCAATGCATCGCGAGGAAGTCACTGCTTGGTGTCGATTTTGGGCTGGCGGCGTTATCGGTCCATATTTTTTTGAGAACGATATTGTCCAGGACATTACTGTCAACGGCAAGTGAATACCAACTACTTTTTGCCTGAATTGGATAATCTGGACACCAACGACATGTGGTTTTAACAGGACGGCGCTACGTCCCACACAGCTCATGTCACATTTGATATTCTGCACAAGCTATTTGAGTGAATGGTCATCTCACATGGAGGTGATGTTAACTAGCCACTGAGATCGTGCGATTTGACCTCGTCAGACGTTTTCTTGTGGTTTTTATTTGGTCGCAGGTGTATGCGATTAAGCTACAAACCACAGCGATCCTCAAAGCCAACGTAACTCATGAAATCGGTCAAAATCAGCATGATTCATGCGCCAAACTCATGGAAAATTTGACGTTTTGGATGCTCTCCACTCAGAGAAGGCGTAGCGGACATTTGAACGATGTTTATTCCTCATATAATGTGGTCTTCCAAACGAATAAAAAATGTCGATAATATCCCACACACAACTGATATCTGGGCAACTTTCGAAGCAAAAACCTTGTCCTACTTGGGATTCGCCAGTTAAAATGAAAGCTCTTGTTATTTATCAGCTAGTACAGAACTTTTGAAGGTCATTATTCATAGGATTATAATACCTCTTCAATAAAAAACTCTTGGCTGAAAAGCATTTTGGCTTTCTACTTATCCACTTTCGAAACAAAAAATGGGAGAAACATTGTCCAGGAGTAATATCTTCCTTGAAATTTTTCCTTTTCGATCGAAATAAAATCCTTTTGAACTCATTTCTTCAATTCAATTCAATAATTGGTAACAAATTGTTGAACATTTTTTTATGAAATACGCTGGTGGTATTCAATTAGGACTATTTATGTAGTTTTCATTTGGTAGGTGACTGATAATGAAGATTTTTTGGAAAAAAATGTTATTCAGTTTGAACAAGTTCTAAGATTTGCCCTCCCCCTTAGTTTTATTCAGTACTAACTACTGAGAATTTTTTAGAAAAAGTTAATTATTTGATGTTACGTTATCAACGAAATGAAAGTTATATATGAGGTGTAGTTAACAGAAGAGCTAATAATGAAATTGAAAATGATAATAATAATAATTATTTTTTTTTGCACAAAGGAAACCGTTACAACATAGAAGTATCATAAGCCAACCATAATAATGTACAACAAAGTGGGGAAACCTGTAAGAAATCAAATTTTTGTATAGGTTGTAGGTGGTAGGTTGTAGGTAAGTATAAATAGTATAGGTATATGATACAAAAGCATTATTCCAAATCTCTAGAAATGATGCATAAAAATAAATTAAAAAAAATACATTGAAAAATACAAGAAAAACGTACACTTGAGGTAAAAATGAAAAATATAACTAGTGTTTTATAGAGTAATTTTCACATATTAACACATGCATGGACAAAGCAATATATCTCAGAAAATATATCTCATGGAATGGGTTTATGATAAGAAGGAACTTTACTGTTGACCAAAGTACTATATGATGAAGGGGTTTTCGATTTGTAGATGTTTATCAACCCTCGAGGTCTATTTGATATAACCTTTCAACTTATTTTTGAATTGTTCGATATTATTGATTTCTGTGATATATTGCGGAAGGCGTCCGTAGAGTTTGGGGCCCAAAAACTTACAATTCTACTGTCCAATAGATTTTAAAGCTGGGGGAGTTAAGTAAGTGATGTGTTTCTGTCTTGTGTCCTAGTGGTGTTCATTAGTTATCAGAGTGAATTTAGTTTTATGCTGTTCAACATTCAAATTGAAAAAAAAAACTGTATCGGGTCTGATATTTCACTTTCAGAGTAAAGAAGGTCTGAAAGGGATCAAATTGTTTTACAGAATAAAATTTTAATAATTTTTTTCAGTACAATCAGTAAGTTATTAATAATAGTTTTTCCGGCTGCCCCCCAAGATACTATTCCATAAGCTATATGCGATTCCACTAATGCGTGATACACTGTTTTCAGATGGATTTTGTTCAAGATATATCTCAGTTTGTAAATTGAAAAGTTTAGTTTTTTGATCACATACGCGATATGCTTATTCCACTTGAGGTGACTGTCAATAATCACACCTAGATATTTGACATAAATGTACGTTCGATTGAAAAATCATCAGAAATTTTTAAAGTAGTAAAGGACGGCACAGTGAATTTATTATTGGATAGTAGAAGAAACAATGTTTTGCTAGGGTTTATGGGCAGCAATCGACTCTGAAACCATGATTTAATCTCTTTCTACTAGTTCTTTCAAAGTGTTCCATTCTCGGGCTGAGTAAAAAATTGCCGTATCATCTGCATACTTATTATTTCTCCTTTGGTATTGACTTCAAATAAATCATTTGAATGAATGTTAAACAGGATTGGTCCTAGTACGGTTCCTTGAGATACACCATACGTTACTGTTTCGGGTGTGCTATGGATATTCTTCAATTTGAATTTTTGCAATCTATTTGAGAGATAACTTCTGAACAAGTCTGATACCTGAATTTTCAAGCGATTCGATTACTAGGTTATGGCTTACCGTATCGAATGCCTTAGATAAGTCAAGAAAAACGCAGACAGCAGGCTGGCTTTTGTCCAGAGCTGAATACATTTTGGAGGTCAATTTTAGTATCGTGTCTTGGGTGGAAACACCTTCTCTGAAACCATGTTGTTTTTCTGATATTATTCCAAATTTATCAAGAAGGGGAATACAATTGTTTCTTTTAAATACTGCGGAAAAATTCTTTGTTGAATGCATTTATTGATTACTGCAGCTAGTGGTGCTGCAATTATGTTCAACAGTTTCAGACGTTATTAGATCAATTCCTGGTGCCTTCATAGGTTTTAGTTGTGTTATTATTGTTTTTATTTCAGTTTGGTTAACTGCTCGTGAAAGAAGAGAATTCAATAGAGAAGAGAGAATTGAAAATGATAATTTCACAAACTATATACACATAGGCGTAGTCAATGGAATTACTACGGATTTTCATGGAATAAAGGTCGAGTCAATCAAAAAATTAAAATAATAATTCATCAAGTTGAGATTGGTCAACTGGATATTATTATTTATATATTCGACGGATAATATTTAAGATAAGAATGGTTAGCATGGAAATCATATGTAGTAGTTAATATGACATGAAGATTGAGTAAACGCATGTCCAATCTAAATATAGTATTTAAAATAAAGTAGATAATAAGTTTTGGAGTGATTGATTTTCATCAATGGCCTGTGAATTCTCACGAAAGCAAATTAGTCACATTTCAGTAAAACCCCAAGGTAACATTTGACTTCACACCATAACAACACACCTTTACATCTATCTCAACTTTATTTAATAGTTGTCAAAAATATGATAATAGTCAATATAACATTTCTCATTAAAAAAAAACAGGCTATTTTGATGGGAATTGAAAAGTTAACCAACTGTTGATGTTGTTAGTGAAATTAATTATTTCAGTATTCCATGATTTGTGTGTATGTGTGTGTGTGTGATTTGTCTTTTCCATAGATCACTCATGAAAGTTAGGAGCGTTAATTTTTCTGACATTTTTTTACTACTATTGTCATATATTGTGATCAAATGAAAAACTCTCGTTTATTTTATAACCAAGTGATTTGTGTTTTCCATAGTTCACTCATCAATAGATAGATGCGTCATCTTTTTTACTAATTTTGTCATATAATATGACCACGGAAATTGATCCCTATTGTTTGTACACTGGTGTAACTATTTCGCATTAATTGAATTCGAATATTTCGTGTCTTTCCGTTTCGAAATTCATTTCAAAACTTGTCATGGGAATATTCGAAATATATTTTCTGGTAGTAAAACACTGAATTTGATTTCACTTATGTAGTAGAACTTTCTGCAGGATGTCAATCTCATATTCGTCGATGCGAGTAGGAATGCAACAAAAATAGAAGGAAACGATATTAGATTTACATCAACGGATTATAATAACTCTTAGCCATTCCAATTGCTGATGGAATATACATGTTTATTAATATTTAGAATCGAAAATCACTGAACTGATTCTCACAGACTCAGTTTACTATGAACAACCACAAAGTTGATACTGCAGGATTACATTCGATGAATATTCAAAATCCTTTTTGGTTCAATTCTCGGTTCTGCATAAAAAAATTCCATTACTTGGTTAGTTTTATCACTTGTGTTAGGTGAACATTCAATAATGAATTTCATTTAGTCCTCAGTGAATAGTTAAATTAATAAACTGTTTTTTATGTTGAACACAGTGTGATGTTCAATATAGGTGCCAGGTATTTATTTGGCACCCCATCTTTTGCGGTGTTGAAACGTATTTCTCAATTTTTGATAACAAGACAAAATTTCATGCGGAGTTCATCCGATTCTGGAGTTGTTTTTTACGTACATGGTTTCTTAAGAAAATATTTGTATTCGAATGTACTAAAAATGCATAGGTGTTGACTAGGTTCAAAATTAGATTATGTTATATTCTGCAAATCTGAAATGATTGATAATTTTCAATGTATGTAAATCAAGAAGAAATGGAATAATAATACACACTTACGGATAGGAAAAGGCATTGTTGCAGTCTTCATCGGAAGCCATCTCGAACTTAATCCCTTCACACCACTTAACTGTTATCACTACTTAATTATTGACATATCAGTTCAATTGCCACAGCACAAAATTGTTTACGAGTCCTATTGGGAAATCTATGTTTGGAGAGTAAACAAAATAAAAGTTCAATTAAATTTTTTTTGGATTTCAACAGAATGCAAGCACACTGTTATTGTAATCCAGGAAAAAATTATGTCACATCCTTCAGGAAAGTACGAGGATATCAGGCGTATTCCCCACGATTTGAACACAGCGCACAGAACACTAGATTTCCAAACTTAGTCTGAGTAGGCTAGGCGCAGAAAAGAACACGCGAGTCACTTGTTTCGATACCGTCGGAAGCAGGTAAAACAGGTGAGCGCGTGTGTTCACTATCGTGCTAACGGAGATACTGATGTTCGAATCGGATAGTGGGCTGTGTACCCGCCATGGCTTGATGGTAAGGGCCTCCGACTTACCTGTAAGGTGTGATTGTCGGGTCAGTATGATTATTTAGACGTGTATATGGATTTCAGAAGATTTTGTTGTTCTGTCATGACAGTGATATTTTAATCGGTTGTTATTGGCTGATGGAAAATTTGATTTGGTTTTGCGGTGTTGCCAAGATTTTGACTTCTGAAGGTTACAAAAATAAAATACGTATAATTTGTTTAACGTCAACTTGCTGAAATGTTATTTTTACTCAGTATTTTCCTTCTGGTATCCAAGACTTCGACTAATGAGATCAGTAGCATTCTGCCCTGGGTAGGTCATGTTAACTCCTCGAGTCACCTAGGGAGCATCATGACTGATCACACTTCAATCAGTCATATAACCAACGTAGCAGATTCAATTCATCTACAACACGATACATTGTCGCTGGAAAAGTATCTTGTCGAAGGGCTATTAGGACTCATGACCACTGAGTTTAGAACCGAGGACACTACCACTGTACCACTGTACTACTTTACCACTTTTACTCAGTATCTATAGTTGGTAGTTGTTGGCAAGGGTCATCAGTTTGCGCATACCACACTGACTCTTGCATCTGAAATAAATGAAAGACAAATATTCGTCCACATACCTCTCTTTATTTTTCAAGGACAAAACATAAGTACTACAGGAAAATCCTTGAGTTGTTCTAAGAGCGGTTCCTGTGCGAAAGTAGCTATTCACGTTGGATTTGAATCGTTGGAGATTGAATTCATTTGGGAAGACGTTCTCAGGAAATTTATTCCACATAAACGCAGTTCTCCAAATGAGTTTGAGGTGTATTGTGTTGAATCTCAAAATGATGAGCAGCCATAGACCGTCGCGTATTTCTGATATGTACCGATCTTGGTGGAATCAAATGTACCAAGTCACTTGAACACCTCCCGTGAAGATATATATAGAAGAGAGACAAATCTCCAACCTTTCTTAGATGTTCCAGACTTGATGAAATCATATGTAACGAGTCACTTGAACACCTACCGTGGAGGTATCTATACAAGAGAGACAAATCTCCTTACTTTCTTAGATGTTCCAGACTATGAAGGTTGCAAGCATGTTCATGTCTCTAATCAACGGGATGGCTCTCTTCTGGATGGAATCCAGCAGCTTCAGGGTAAGCTTAGGGGCGGAGCTCCTACAAGTGAACAATACTCCAAAGGAGGTCTGACCTGAGCTTTATGAAAGATCAAAAATTGCTAGGGTTCCTACAGTTTTTCCGGTTCGAAACAGTGTTCCAAGCTTTTGAGAAGCAGCTTTTGCAATTCCAATGACATGACTGTGCCAAGACATATTGGTGTACATTTCAACCCCCAACAAGACATATAACCTCCAACAAACTTATCGAAGCAGAAAGTGGAATTGTATATGCTGACATTACTTTATTCAGTTCGAAAACATCCATCTTTCTGAAGAAAACCGATGCCTGTGTTTTCATGGCATTGAATGGAACCTGGTTACTTTCACCCCGATTCGAAATCACCTCTAGTTCCTCATCAAGATATGCAACCTCCTGCTGCCGCTGAAGATGTATATTCGCATATGGAGTAAATGTTCAAATGCCTGTGATTTTGAAAAGTCATTATCATCAGTGGCTCCTAACGTTCTTTTCGACGAATTTTTGTCAATTTTGGTCTTCTATCGAACTGTTACTCAAAAAAAAACAAAATTTTCATTTTTGTGTTCCAATTGGAATTGGCCGTGGAATTGGCCGCGGTGGTTGTGCGCCCGACTCACGATCGGAAGACCGTGGGTTCGATTCCTGCCTCGACCAGATATTTTTCTCGAGAGAATTTATCTGGTTGAAACTGGGATGATACTGCAACCGTGTTGGGAATCACACGTCAAAAAGTAAGACCTCGTTAGTACTTAGCTCGCACAAGTTTCTCAACTTCTGAGAGTTGTCGTTCGTATGGGGGCGACAGCTGATTAACGGAAAAACAGATTTTTCAAACAGATCTTAATTAACCTTCTTTTGCCTGAGTCTCCACAGAAAAGAAAAAACTGAGCGAAAAGAGAAACTGGGAGAAATTGGCCCGGGTACTGGAAAATACTGCGAAAACTACATGAATTTCAAATCACGGCAGCAAAAACCCTTCTGCTGGATTCTAAAGCTACACATTCTAAATAGAATGGTTACAGGTTACCTGAGAGAATCAGTAGAGCGTCTTCTGAATAGAATATGAACAGAAGATCCAGCTTTGCACCAAACTTCTATTGAATGTTACATCTTTTTTTTATATCTTCCTCATATCTACCCTCATATGGGTAGGTATGAAGGCGGTAATAGCTAGCATAGAGGGTATTTCAGAAGATGATCCAAAGGAACAATTTCAGGGCTAGCCATTCCGTCCAGGATAACTGCAGATCACATGAAAGGATCAGGAGAGAATCTCCTGGCTGGTGGGTGCAGTTAGTATCTTGCAGCCATCGGAGCGCATTTTTCTGAAAAGCGTCAAATGGAAGACGTATGGCAGGTCAAAACAGCGCTGTTTGGTATTGATCACGACTTCTTCTTTTTTAGACTTTGATTCCGACTAGTTGCCTTGCAGTGAGAGCTGCAGTAAAAGATAAAGAACGAATCTTGAATTGCGATATCTGGTGAAACCTGGATTTGCAACGGATTGCCTCAATCGCTTCGTTTTTCTGTGATATTTGTGAATTCAGACGTTTGTCGAATTCCTCTTCATAAGAAAAGATATCACTATACTATTTTCATGAAAATGTTCTCCAGCCACATAATTTTTCTCATGAAGTGGAATAGTTTCCGAATGAGTACTGTTTGTATTCATTTTTTTCAAGTAAGTTCAGACATCTACTAATGTAGATGTTCATTACTTTTGATGGACTAGAAGTTTTTAAGAGATAAACATTTTATTTTCAAGCACTTGAATCATTTGTCACTGAATTTATTCTTTAACTATTCTTTGTTTTGATGTTTCCCTTGATTCAATTTATTCCTCGTAGTATAGCCTAGCACAACATATCATATCATTTCATAATATAGTGTAGTGTCGTATAGTATATACTACTATATACAGTATCACATACATGGAACATATGGATATTTTTTATCAATGGGGGAATTGAAAATTTGACTTTGTATCATTTTGCAACACCTCAACAATGTGGGACCTTTCACAAACCAGCAAATACGAATTATTATCTGAATTATAAATCCAACAACTTCCAATCAACGAAGGAAAAACTATAGAACACATCATGAGATCTTTAGCAGAATGGTTACTCCAGGAAGCTGTTGGAACATACTTTGGCTAGAAGGCATCAAGAGCCCTGCGAAAGAAAGAATCTGTCACAACCAGTGCTATCTCTTCCTTACGACAGATAATTGTTGAAGGAAATAAAAAGAAATTGGTCAAAATACAACATCAGAACCCGTTTCAAATCCTGAAGAAATATCGGTGGGAGCCTCACGAAAACCCAGCCACCAAAAACAGACAACGACTACAAGAATTGGTGTGTATCGGTAAAACCAAGAGGCCGTTGCCTCTTATTCGATCAAAAAGTGTAAATTTTTACCGCTGTAGCTGTCGAAGTTATTTTCTGTTTTTGTTGGCCGGGATATGAAGGTTTTCATCTTCACAAATTCTACAATGTTGAAATAATCTCCGGTTTCATTTCATCAGTGGTGGGGGTAGATTCATTCTTACTGGATTGAATTGCATGACCTGGGAAGTGTACGAATTAGAACGGGTAGCCAGATTTTATCCATGTTGTATCTTTATTTTTGTTATTGGAATTGTTTCTGAATATATGAATTTGTAACGCCTTCCTATATACCATCTGATAGGAATTATGAGTTTCATCGAGTATTTGTGTTTTTACTAATGAGATAAAGTTAGTGCTTTCTTTGAGTGCCAGAATACTCCTCTGGTATTACACGAGGCTCTCTGGGGTATTTAGCTAACTTTCAAATTTTTAGCTGATTCGCTCGAATTCAAGTGACTCGTTCCTGTCGAAGGCATTTATTAGGTTATCAAGTTCTTCAGTGATACTCACAGGTTTAGGTTTCGAATGCTATTCTGTGTGCGTTGGTTTTCTGTACACTCTTTGTATATCTTTCTCTTCACTAGTACATCCAAAGAGGTAACAGTTCCTTGGGTTTTCCGTTCCATTTCAAATTGGATTCTTGGGTTAAGGGAGTTCAGATATCATACAAATTTGTTAAGTTTGACCGCCGTACTGCCATACTACGAACGTATCATCAAAGTAAGACTGCCAACAATAAGGTTGTGGCTTCACAGCAGCTTGTTCTGAGGTCGTTGTTCAAATTTCTACATGAAAAAGTTTGCAACCACCAAGTTTGCCCCTTTGTTTTTTCCTAGAAAGCGCATGGTATCGCAATGAGCAGTCCGTTAAGTACGGTGGTGTCATGGAAACATGTCACCAACGAGCCTGCGTTACGTTGATTATACGTTCGAGGTTTGAAAACATGGAAGAAAAAAATTAAACAAATTTTCATCATATACACATTCTCTTTTCCCAAAAATCTTAGGAAAAATCCAGGGAACATAGTCCTCTTAGTTGTACTAGTGAACAGAGGTGAAGAAAGGTCATGGGGTCATAGAGTGTAAAGGTAAATGAATGAAAATTGCTGCCAGTTGCCACAAGAGAGATGGGTAATCAAAACATGAGTTGGAGGATCCCACGCATCTATGAACCTGAGAGTTTTATCGAATACCTCAATAACCTGAAAATAAATACTTTTGGAGGAATGGGTATAGTGAAGTCGAGTTTGAGAGGATGGTACAAACCAGGAAGGAGAATGCCAAGTAACTCCAGCGAGGCTTGCTAATCAAGTTAGCGTCCTTGGGAGGCCATAATAAAGTCGCGATAATGGTTAATTTGGGTTAGTTTGGTTTTGTTTCAGTTATTTCAGGAAATCCATC